AAACATGACAGATAGTCTGTGAAACAGATCCAGTTCAGCTCGTTGTTTATCTATTAGTTTCTCTGGAGGCTGTGAGCTGTTGACATTTTAGACGCCATTTCTGCTCCTCCATGATGTCACAGACACTACCAGTGGACGGTATGGGCGGGGCTCAGTCTAGTGATATTTAAGTCTATGGTTGCTCCAAATGAGTGATTTCACAGGTTTCATGTTTGTCAGGATGATTCTGGTCCATCAGTCTGTTTGTTGTTTCTGAGACTGAAAAATAACAGGCCTTCAAAACGTCTGAAAAGAAACGTGAGCGATGAGTTTGTGTCGACCGTGTGYGAGTTACAGACGGCCTGGAAGTCCTTACAGAGACAGAAAGGTGAACCAGAGGGCAGGTCGCAACTTAAGGAAAAAAAATGAAGTAAAAAATAAAAATGACGTGGAATGAAAAAAGATGTGACAGACAGACAGAGAGGGACATAAAAGATGAAAAAAGAGGGACGTTTGGAAGAATGACGAGAAGTGGCAAGCTGAAGGGAAACACAGGTGAGCTGCCACAGACAATCAGGTTTAAGACGGCCTCCATCAACGTGCAAACGTGCACACAAACGTGCACACTTCTCCGTTGTTATGATGGTGCACCAACCTTTAGCTTGCTGCTCGGCCGTCTTTTTCAGCTCCTCAGTCTTCATCTTTCTGTGTTACACACCATGATACCGAACAGCCCTGTGACTACCTGTCACCTGGCTAAAAGACAGAAGTAGCCAAAAGCTACAAATGACAAAAGGCTACCAGATGGCTAAATGTAGTGAAAAGGCTATAAAGAGGCTAACAAGAGCAGAAGGCTATGCTTCAAGCTAGCAAGCTGTTTTTTTTTTTGGTTAAGGTTAGGGTTTTGAAGCAGCAAAAGACTAGCTAAAATAAATAAATAAAAACAAGTCTCTGACTACCTAAAAACTACGTTTTACCACTTTAAAGCAGGATAAGGCTACACTTCAAGCTACCTTTTTGCTGTTTTAGCTTCTATTAAAAACTAGGTAACATTTTAAAAGCTAAATTATAAAAGTAGCAAAAATCTGGTTTGCAGTAAAGGGCTACATAGAAGCTAAAACACAGCAAAGGGCTAGGTAGAAGCTAAAATCACCTACAAGCTACCCTTTTGCTGTTTTAGTTTCTATAAAATTCTAGCTAGAATTAGTAAATGTTAGCTAAAGGACAAAAGTTGCAAAAAGATGGCTAAAATCTGCATGCAGTAAAGGGCTACCTAAAAGCTAAAAACAACAATGGACTAGGTAGAGGCTAAAATTAGCAGAGGGCTACACTTCAAGCTATCCTTTTGCTGTTTTAGCTTCTATAAAGTGCTAGCTAGAATTTGTAAATGTCGATATGTTAGCTAAAGGGTAAAGGTAGCAAAAAGATGGCTAAAATCTGCACGCAGCAAAGGGCTACAGAGGCTTAAAACAGCAAAGGGCAAGATAGAGGCTAAAATCAGCAGAAGGCTACACTTCAAGCTACCTTTTTGCAGTTTAGCTTCTATTAGAATTAGCTGGACATATTAAATGTATATAGACAAGCTAAAGGATAAAAGTAGCAAAAAAACTGGCTAAAGGCTGAAAGAATAGAATAGAACAGAATAGAATAGAAACAGGCTTTATCGTCCCGCAGACAGGAAGTTCATGTGTAACAGCAGCATTAGTTCCCAAAAARGGGCTACATAGAGGCCTAAAAAGGGCAAGATAAAGGCTAAAATCAGCAGAAGGCTATGCTTCAAGCTATCTTTTTGCTGTTTTGCTTCTACAAAATGTTAGCTTTAATTAGTAAATGTAGTAAACGGCTGAATAACAATCTGATTGGAATACTTTCCACCACACAGACTTGGATCAGTACGCTTCATCTGTATTGGACCACGTTTCCACTACCATAGACTCCGTCACCACCTATAAACGCATCACCATGTACCCTAACCAGAAACCCTGGATGAACCGAGATGTTCGTCTCCTGCTGAAGGCCCGCAACATCGCCTTCAGGTCAGGGGATGCACAGACCTACAGTGCAGCCAGGGCTGAGCTGAAGAGGGGAATCAAGAAGGCCAAACACCACTACAAAAAGAAGGTGGAGGATCACTTTTCCAACTCCAACCCCCGAAGTATGTGGCAAGGCCTTCAGATTCTCACAGACTACAAGAATCCCAACACCAACCCCGCCTCCTCTGATGTCTCCTTCCTCAATGAGCTTAACAACTTCTATGCTCGTTTTGAAAGAGGGAACACCACAACTGCATCTAAGGCAACCACCACCTCAGACCAACAGCCACTGATTCTTTTCTCCACTGACGTAGGAGCGGCTTTGAGCAGGATTAAATCACACAAGGCTGCGGGTCCTGATGGCATACCTGGACGTGTCCTTAGAGCATGCTCTGAGGAGCTGGCAGGAGTGCTAACAGAGATCTTCAACCTGTCCCTGGTCCGCGCTGTGGTACCGACCTGCTTCAAGTCTACCTCCATCATCCCAATCCCCAAGAATTCCAACCCAACCAGACTCAATGACTACCGTCCGGTAGCCCTCAAGTTTGCAGATGACACCACAGTGATCGGCCTAATCAGAGATAACGATGAGGCCGCCTACAGGGAGGAGGTGGACCGTCTGGCTGAGTGGTGCGACAAAAACAACTTGCAGCTGAACACGGAGAAGACCAAGGAGCTCATCGTGGACTTCAGGAGGAACGCTGACCTGCACCCACCCATCCACATTAAGCGGACAGAGGTGGAGCGTGTAGACAGCTTTAAGATCCTGGGGGTCCACATCTCCAAGGATCTGACCTGGACGACCAGCTGCTCCAAACTCATCAAGAAGGCACACCAGCGCCTCTTCTTCATGAGGACCCTGAGGAAGAACCACCTGTCCTCAGAGGTCATTACAAACTTCTACCGCTGCACCATCGAGAGCATCCTCACCAACTGCATTACAGTCTGGTATGGGAACTGCACTGTCTCCGACCGGAAGGCGCTGCAGAGGGTGGTGAAAACTGCCCAGCACATCGCCGGGGCACCGCTCCCTGCCATCAAGGACATCTACAGGAAGAGGTGTCTGAAAAGGGCTGGTAAAATCACCAAGGACTCCACCCACCCCGCACACACACTCTTCTCCCTCCTGCCTTCTGGGAGGCGTTACAGAAGCCTACGGACCAGAACCACCAGGCATCGGAACAGCTTCTTTCCTACAGCTGTCACGCTCATGAACGCCTCCTGACACAACTAGAAGGACTGTACCCCCCCCGTCCCCCGTCCCCCCGTAAAACAATAACATACGGACTGTCCTCACAGTCATACATACTCTGTATATAATCTGGAAATCTTATTTGCTATTAACAATCTTACATTGTAAATCTACTAATACATATACAATTCATTCCTAACATTCTGTATAATCTGCATAATCTGTATATGTGCACATAGCACCCATATTTTTTTATTTTATTATATTGTTTTTATACTGAACATTTTATTTTTATAGTAACCTTTGCACATCTGTAAATACATATTATACCCTGTATAGCACTTCTGGATAGATGCAAACTACATTTCGTTGCTTGTACTTGTGACAGTGCAATGACAATAAAGTTGAATTCTATTCTATTCTATTCTAATAAGGATAAAAGTAGCAAAAAGCTGGCTAAAAACTAAAAGGGCTACCTAGAAGCAACGCTTCAAGCTACCTTTTTGCTTTTTTAGCTTCTACAAAAAGCTAGCTAAAATGAGTTATTGTAACAATAAGCTTACATGCAAAATGTAGCTAAAATGCTAACCTGTCACCCTGTAAACAGGCGTGCACCTGTGATGCTGACTACAGGACACACCTGAGTTAACGGTTAAAATAGTTTCAATCTTTTCTCAGGATGTCATTTATTTTTCTCCATTCTGTTGAACTAAAAGTTCAAAAGCTATTTCTGCTTTTCAATAATTAAATTTAAGTATTTTTTATGTCACTTCTGTCAGTTTTAACCTCTAGATACAAACAAATTTGTCTTTAATTAAAGCGGCTCAGTGGACTGTGTTGTGCTGCATCAAGAGGACCGGACTAATGAGACAGAAAAAATAAATAAATAAAAACAACATAAAGCCAAACAGAAATAAGAAAAGCAGAACTCTGGAATTAAGTCAATCCAGAACCCATTTATAAACGAGGCGAAGGAATCTCTGCAAACTAAATTAGGTCAGAAAAAAATAAGCAGCTTTTGTTGTTTTCGTTCTGCTCTTTGTTTTTAATTTGAACAGATGAAACGACGGTTGAACCCGGAGCTCGTGCTTTTGATTGTTTTTCCACCTCCTTGCAGGAAGCGACGGCTGCGTTCGCTGTAAATGTCTGCCAAGTTGGGAAAAATAAACCTGCCTGGTTTTATATTTATATTTATAGTCATTTATTTTTAACTGATTGTCTTTTTATGTGTCGTCCAAATCGTATTTGTGAAAGCTCTTTAACGCATTCATTTAAAGCTCAAGGAAAGCTCCGAACTTCACAGAACTTAAAATAAAAACTGGGTGTGAGGTTTAAAAGTTCCACAAATACACACATTCTAGTGTTTACAGCAACGTTAAATGTACCGACTTGAATGAAGCAAGTTTGGAGTCTGCCACAGATTATCTAATTTATAATTAGAAATGTCTCCATTAACTTATTTACTTGATAGTTGAGACTCATCCTCTGCACACACTCCATTTATCAACATCTCGTAAAAAGTGGCGGCCATCTTGAAMTAAAACTCATGAAAGGTGTTGGTCGATATGGATTCCTTCAAGAAATGTTTCTAATTTACAGACAGAAACGCAGCAAAACAGCAAAAGGTTTTTGTCTTTTTAAAGACATATTAATATTTTTCTAAGATCTACTATCGAGTCATATTTGCAGGTTCATCACCAAAACTTTTAGTCTCCAATTGTTGACATGTTTTAAAATTACAATAAATAAATAAATAAATAAATAAATAAAACTTTTTTTGGTGTCAGTGTCACACAAACAACAACATTCATCAGTCTAAATTTTTAGGTTCATTTTCTGTAAAGGATAGAAATTTGTTTGTGTTTGGAGTTTTCACAAACCTTATTAACGCTTTGTTCTCTCTCTCTGTGTGTGTGTGTGTGTCTGTGTGTGTGTGTCTGTGTGTGTGTGTCTGTGTGTGTGTGTCTGTGTGTGTGTG